ACTGATACTGCCAAAGTTCTGCAGCATTTTTATTTACAGGGGCCAAAATAGCTTTTTTTGGGGAGAGAAGCAAAGGATCTGGGTTTGAACTTGAAACCTATAGAAACCCATGAAGCATGCTGTTTGTGCAATTATAAGTTTCTGTTGAACATGTTTGTTAGTCTTATGGTACTGCAACATGACCATCATTATTTATGTACTCTGTTCATTTTTTATTTATTTATGTACTATTCACATAACTATAAACTTGTTACTTAATGTAGCCAAGTGGAATTTTGTGGCTGTGCACCAATCTCTGGTCTCTTTAGTTACGTCTTTCTACTTGTTCGATCAAATGGAATTATATCTGGTGTCAGTTCTTATTTGTAACCATGGTGTTTTAGTTCATTATGAATTCAGTGTTAACCTAACCTGAAGCTATTTCCATAATGTCATGCAGAGACACTGGTGCATTCTACTCTTGAGCCATGTGAAGATTCTGATTTCACTTTCCCAGTTCATTTTAATCTCAGAGATCACACAATCTATGTACGGTGCCGTCCATATCTGAAAGATTTCCTGGAGAGAGTAGCCAGCATGTTTGAGATAATCATCTTCACGGCTAGTCAAAGTATCTATGCAGAACAACTACTTAATGTTCTTGATCCCAAAAGAAGGTTGTTCCGTCATCGAGTTTATCGTGAGTCTTGTGTCTATGTGGAGGGCAACTACTTGAAGGATCTATCTGTTCTTGGGCGTGACTTGTCTCGTGTTGTCATAGTTGACAATTCTCCGCAGGTATTTGTTAAACCATACATGTTAGTTATTCATGGGTCAGTTTTTTTTCCTGTTCGAAATTTTCTGAATGCTATTGGAGCAAATCTAGTCTTAATCATTTTATTAGCATTGGTCTTTATTACAAGTCAATTTTATCCTGGTTTATGCCTTTATGGTCATGATGTTTGGGTCTGACTCTTGGTTGTTCTGAAGTAGCAACATGAATGACCTATCCGTAAAACCTATCTTACTGGCCAGTTTTGAACCTTTCACCTTACTATTACTTGTGAAGCATTTTCAGTTGGAATATAACCTTCCACTTTACTTTTTCACTGGGATTAGAGTGCCCCAGGAAGGAACTCGATCATCTCTTTGCAGTATCATGGGTGTAGTTAATTCCTTCCTGCTGTGTAATGAGATTCTCATAAGTTACTATTTCTTCATTCTTTTTTGTGTAGCAAAGAGTTTCCCCTTTATTCTCTGCCAGTGCTACAAACACACATGTAAGCAATGAATCAAGAGGTCTTTTATGATATATTCTTGCTTTCAGGCCTTTGGGTTCCAACTAGACAACGGCATACCGATCGAGAGCTGGTTCGACGACCCAAACGACAAGGAGCTCCTAGCACTGCTACCGTTCTTGGAAAGTCTGGTTGGGGTGGAAGATGTCCGGCCATTCATCGCAACTAAGTTCAACCTCCGCCAGAAGGTGTCCAGCGCGACTTCCCTCGCGATGCACTTCTTTCCTAATGCAGAGCGTGCCAACTGAAGCGCTCGCGCAGAAAACAGGCGATCAAGTGCTCGAAAGGATATCTGGAATTCAGAATCCTTTGCTGTCATGGTACAATCATGTTTCATTTAATTTCGAACCGCCAGAGAGACGGATGTATAATTTGGGCTGTTGTATGTTTCTAAAAACCGGTAATCTTTAGGGAACCTTGTACAAGCAGTAGCCAGACCCAGAAGGGTTGTCAGTCGTGACCGCGTTGCGCGATGGATGCGCCAAGCATTGTAATAGGTCAGCAGATATTTGTCGGAATTTGTTGTGCTCACTGAAGTTGCGTTGCAGCATGTAGTTTCCAAGTAGAGTAGACAAGTCAGTCAGTGAGGATTATAGCTGCCAATTGAGCATTTGAGCTTTTATATCCCCAGTGGTGATATAGCTTTCTTCTGCCGTGCATTTTAAAACTGAATCTGTGCATTTTAAAACCGAACAGAAAAACATGCCGCCGAGAAAAACCTAAGTGAGCCTTTTTCTTTTGGTTTATGGTTTACAGTACGGTCTCTTTTTTGTTCTCCTTTTTTATTCTTGGGTATAAAGAGACCGTACAATGGTCAGGTTTCTTGGGTATAAAATCGTTTTTGTTCTCCTTTTTTATTTCTTGGTGAGTTCGATTTTTATTCTTTTTCTTGAGGGGTGATTTCGATTTTGATTCGAAAATTTCGGGTTGAACTGAAATTATCGACTGGACGAAAGCCCAGCCCGGCCCACTGTAAACCGCTGCTGGTGCTGTTATACTGTCGACCAGCCCACCACACGCTCACAGAGAGCAGGCGGTGGCGAGCCGCCGCCAGGCACCACGGTCGGCGGCCCCTCGCTCCTCCGCCGCCGCCTCCCCTCCCCCCGGCACCGAACGGGCGCCGGCGCGCCCTCGGGGTGGGTGCTGCTCGTGCTCGTGGTCGGCGCCCCCGCTTCCCCGACTTCACGGCCACCTGCCTGCAGGTGAGAATAAAATTGCCTGCCGCTCTTCTGCTAGTGCTGCACGGTACACACTCTGATTATTTTATCTTGTCACTTGTTCAGATCATCAGTTGGCCGGGAGCTGTGATGTGATGTGCCATACCCTTCTACTCTACTACACTAGTGTCAGAAACGCTCTTATATTATGGGATGAAAAAAGGATTCTAAATATATGAGATTCAGATATACAGAGAATCCTAACACCGACAGTGGCAACAAAGGTGAAGAACCATGCGCCCTTGAGTGCAACGATGCTAGCTAGTAGTAGCAGACGTTGGTTCTGCTTGTGCTTTGCTCCTAGAATTATGTCGTGCGGAGCCGCAGATTGAATAGCAGCCACTGCCAGTTGTTCTGTTAACTTGTTTGCCTCTACTGTTTTACTACCTACTACCACTAGTACACAACACACTAGTGATGATAAAAGCAAAGTATTGATACCCTATAAACTGAAACCCCGTAGATTCCTGTGTTGTATGTTCGCTTGTCTAGCTCTGTTTCCTTTCCTTTCCTTTTCTTTTCTTCTGCACGACTGACCCTAAATATGTAGTGTGGATATGATCTCCAGTGTCCAAATGCCGAACACAGCGCAACTTGCAAAATGGTCTCTCTCTCTCTCTGCATCTATGCTTGAAGAGACAGAGGGCAATGCTTTTTCTTTAGGGAAAGGAAAGTACAGTGCTTGAAAGAACTAAAGAAAAAAGCCCGCAAAACAGATCAGGAATGAGTGACATTATCTGCAACTGCAAGCAAGGAACAATGTGCTTTGGGGAAAACACAAAAGCAAAGTGGGGCAAAACAAAAAGCTCATACCATCACCACTGCACCATCTCATGCTAATTGCCCCCCAACTTGCACTACACTCTGTTGCCGAGCTCTGCCAGCTACGCGCAAGCGAAAACTTCTTTCATCTCCAGCTAAACCAGATGATCAAGTGATACATCTTCACCTTGGACTGGAGGATGGATGGCTTCGACTAAGTACGGTTTGCATCCTGTATATAAGTTTGTTTTCTCATTGTTTTTTTTTGCGGTGTCAGATCAGAAATTTAAGCATCTAATCAGCCTTTTTCTTGTTTTGCAGCAAATCTGCGGCCGATGGGTTAGACATGTTTTTCTCATGGATTTCTTGTGCTGCTGTGCTGTTAGTTTTGATTTGAGGGAGATGATGGAGTGAGCTGCATCTGGAATAATGGATTTTTTGGAGATAACTTTATTTTTATGTGCAACTCTTCTTCACTCGTTGAAATGATCCGCCTGCGGCTCTAGAGGTATTCTTACTCTCTCCGGCATCAGAAAAGTTGACGTTTTAGACATGATTTCACGTACAGAAGCTGTGTTTTATATTTATTCTCTCCATACTAACTCCGCAACTCACTAATTCTTGGGTAATACTTTCTACAATTTGCTTCAACATCAGCATTTTTTAATACTGGAGGAATAACAATGCATATTGTGTATAGACATAGCAGATCGTCTTGCCATAAGTTTTGTGTTTAATCTGCTTCGCGGACCAAGAGATGTTACAATCTCAGCCGGATCTGCCTTTTATTTTTATTTTTTGGGAAAAAACGACCAGATCAGGAAATCTTTATAACTCAAACCCAAAATTCCAATTTTCTTTCTGTATAGCTGTTCCCCTGAATATCTAGAAATATAGAGCCTGAAGTAGATTTTTTTAATGAAGAAACGAAATATACATAAAGAATGCACCTTTTGTGATTTTTTTGTTGCAACGGTGTATATGTAAACACAGCTTTTTTTTTAAGTTAAACATGTTGCAAGCATGGATTTTGAGTCGCTCGACTAGTCACAACGCAGGCTCGACTTCTTCCGAGTTGCTGCCCCAGAGCGACTCGCATGAGTCGCGACTCGAAAACCATGGTTGCAAGAACTAGTCTCTTAGTGTGTATACATGCTTAAAGGAGGAAGAGACAAACCCTGCTGTAAAGAAAGGCCACAAAAATCTGCGACGTGGGACTATGCCATAAGCTCCCACCATCATCATACACCTGATTATCGACTGATATCACTGCTCAATCTTGCAGTTCATTATGTTGTTACCAAGCCCCGCCACCATCTAAGAAGAACAAGTGGGTTTGTTTTTCCATTTCGAGTGATATTTCTTCACCTGGGACTGGATTTCTTTGGGACAACTTCTCCTTTCTCTGCAAGTCTTCTTGGCTCCTTGACTTGATATCTAGGTACTACAATTGCATCTCGTATGTATATATACAAGCTTGTTTTTTCATATGTATTTCTGTGATGCCACATCGTGAATCTGACGAGCATCTAACTTTTGTAGACTGCGGGCCAGTGGGTTACAAGCACACAGTCATGGTTTTCTTCTGCTGAGGGTAATTATCGGTTTTACTATGGAGCTTCAGAATGGCTGCTGCACCACCTGGACCTACTCTGAAAGGGCATACTCTGGTTGGTACCTTTTCTTAATTTTTTTTTTTGAAACGAGGCAAAAGACTTGCCATTTTCATTGATTAAGAAGAAGAATTGTCCGGTTAATTGACGGAAAACCGGGCTAAAACCGATACAACACAACCCACATGACATGGGCACCACCGGCCAACCTGGCCACCGACATGGAACAGAAGCCACGACGGCACATGCCAACGGATGGCCACACGCGCAAGCAACTGACAGCTCTGACTTTGACAACGAGCAACACAGGGGAAATATGCAGGACTTGCACCGACCGTGCCGAAAAGAGCACCTCGGACACGCCAGGAAGAACCGACTACCGAAGACCACGCCGCGACCCAAGATTCTCTCGACGCCATCATCGTTGCCAAACAGAAACCAGCGCCCCGCCTCAGCAAACCACGCGGCGAAGATGCCGCCATCGACGGCGAAGATGCCATCATCCTCCAGTCTCTCAGTCGTAGCCGGCTCCGAGACGATGCCCCCAAGGAGGAGAAAGACGCGAAGACGCCTCCATCGCCCGATCCAACGGATCTGAGGTTTCCCTCCGGAGCCCAAGCCGTGGGGAGAAGGAGCAACTCCACGAAGACGCTTCCAAGAAAGATCACGGCACCCGCGGGCGCCGCCGTCGCCGGCTCCGGTGAAGACCGGAGCAAGGATTTCTCTCGGAGATGTGCCGACCACCTGTCACCACCGACCGCCGCCCACTGACCACCACTCCTGCCGAGGCCGACCTCACTCTGGCCACGGGATCCCACGATCCACCGCGACCAGATTCGCACCACCTCCTGGCCGAAGCCGCCACCACCATACCCGGGGCCGCCGCCCCGGAGCCCAAGAGCCGCCACGTCATCGTCATCACCGTCGGCAGGAGCCCGGCCAGGCCCGACGGCATGGAGTCCACATCGCAAATCTGGAGGCAAGGGAGGGCCTGACCAGACTACGACCTCGCCACAAGCCTAGCCTCGGTGGGCCGAAGGACTGCCAAAGCCGCTGCCGGAAGGCTATAGTTGAGCCGCACCAGATCTGAACCGCCGGAAGCCGGAGCCGCACGAGCGAGATAGAGTGGTCGCAGCCGCCTAGCCTCGACCCACCGCTGGACGTCGCGAGGCCGCCGCCGTTGCCGCGCCTACTCGCCACGCCGCCCAGCCGTCACGCCACCGGAGGAGCAGCCGCCTCCGTGGGACCCGCAGCCTGGACCACCACCAACCCGAGCGGGGGACAAGGCACGCCAAGCCGCATGCAGTGCACCGTCCACCGAGCCGCCGAGCTACCCACGCCGCCACCACCGGGCCCAGCTTCGCCGAGTCCTCGATCCGCCAGAACGCGCGCCGCCCCTACTCCCGGACCACTGGATCCGTGCCAGCCATCGCCGGAGCCGCGCCCGCTCGCCCGCTAGACCCCGCCGAGCTCATACGCCAGATCCGCCCGTGGGCCACCCTGAGAGAAGCCCCACCGCCACCCTCCCTGGAGCCTGACCGGGCTTTGCCGGCGGGCTCCTCAGGCGGCGGCGAGGTGCTGGGGCAGAGGGGAGGAGGAAGTAGCCGGCGCCGGTGGTGTTCCCCCGTGTCGCCTGAGAGAGGCGACGCGGGGGTCGGGGACAGTTACAGTATATGATATTGTTGTTAGATTATGAAGCCTCCCAAACTTGTCTGTTTGGAGCGTGACTACCTCTCCTCGTAGTTACCACACTCTTGCAATCTCGTTCCTTGAGCAATGATGTTCAGGTGTGTAGAGCTGCCTAGTGCTTCAACAAATTTTGGACTGCCGCGGCCCATGAAATACTATTACTAGCAATGGTTATATGTTTTGTGTGGAAAACAATACTATGTAATGAGCAAGCATATATGAACCGATTATTTTTATTCATCAATATATTAGTTCCACACTAGCTAAACTTCTAAATTAGGCACATGTCTACACTGACCTGAGATTGCAACATGAGACATTTGTTGTTTTAGCTTATTAATTTAGGAAAATAGCTAGTATTAATTAATGTTATAGTGTCAACATGTCTACTCATTTGGCAGTCATATCTAACAGTCGTTAATTACTACAGGTTGTAAAGGATTTCGATGACGCCGTCAAGCAGCTGATTGATTTTCTGCATCATGGCGGTGATACTTCAGAAGGCAGAATAAAAGCATTCTTATTTCATGGCTGGTACGGTGTGGGTCTTGGAGCATCCGCCGTTCTTAGAGCTACAGCAGAACACCTCAAATCCAAAAGAAGCGATCCAGACATGAAACAGCAATTTGGTAAAGTTGTCCACGTCGACTGCTCTCTGTGGAAAAATAGAAGGACGATGCAGCAGGAAATAGCAGCAGAACTGAACCTTGTGCATTTAATGCCTATTTTTGATAAGCAAAATGAGGACGATGATTTCAGAGGAGTAGAGGACAGTTCTAGAGCAGAGATAACAAGCATAGCAAGTGCGATCTATGAATCTCTAATCAATGAAAAATTTATATTAATTCTTCATTATGGGGGAGATGCAGATATTGATCTGGCAGAGTCGGGCGTTCCTGTATTTGGACCTTTCGGTAAAGCCAAGCTTTTATGGACCAATCATGGAAGATTTCAGCTCTCACAGAAACAACACAAGTTGTTGACATCCAGTTTCCTTGATATAAACATGCTTTTCATTACCACAGACCACATCTATATCGGGCAACAACTACGTTGTTTATTGCACAAAGAAGCTGTTGAGGTGATTAGTTACACGGGAATGGATGACATCAACCCAGCAACTGTTGTGGATTGCTTCTTGTACTCACTGTTGCTGGTAGGACAACTGGGTGAAAACTCTGACACTGTTGAGTATGGTTGGGCCACTTATGTTTGCAACTACTGGATATGTGACGGAATCCTTCAAAAGGACAGAGCTTGGGAGGTTGGCAATGCATTATATGGAGTGATAGGGCAATTGCGCCATTCTTCAGGTGCAATAGAAACTCTATTATATTGGTTGGACCAACAAATAAAATCCTACCAAGGCTGGAAGTCAATTGCATCAAACCAACAAGGAGCACAAAGTATCTCTGTTGTTCCTGTTAATGCATCATCCTATTTCTTAACATTTAAGGGAGATGATCTGCTACAACTACCGAATGATTTGTTTCAACTAGCCAACAACCTCCGTGTGCTAAAACTCTGCAAGTGCAGATTTGATTTTGCATTGCCTCCTTTCCAATCCTGCCACAACCTAAGGTTCCTTTGGCTTGACCATTGTGCAAACACTGGGAAGGAGCAAGGTGGGGGAGCATGTTTTCCAAACCTGATAGTGCTTGACTTGCGTCACACTGATTATGCCTTGCAGCAGCAGATGATTGAACGGATGACAAATCTAAGAGAAATAAATACAAAAGGAGTCTCATGGAGGAATATAAGTCATGCATGGAAAACATTACAAAATCTTCACAAGCTCCGACTAACAGAATCTTCAGATTTGATCACAGTGAACAATTGCTCTTCCTTGGATATGATCAATCTGGAGCTCCTTGACTTGTCTGGCAATATCTCTATGGCATCATTGCCTAGAATGTCATCAGCGGCAAGCTTGAAGATGCTTGTTCTTGATGGTTGTTCCAACTTGGAGACCGTTGCAGTTGAAGGAGCTCTTCCATTGCTCGAGACTTTTAGCTTCGATGGTTATGGCCCAACAGAGAACTGGGCACATCCCATAGAATTACCAAAAAAAGAATTTTGGCCAAAGTCTCGTGCAACTCCAATCCAAGAAGCCAAGGTGACCAAAATTTCCCTCATGGGTTGTGGTCGATTGCATAGCATATTCTTGCGTGCGTTGGACAATCTGGACGAGTTGGACCTCTCTGGTACAGCCATAAAAATGCTTGACCTTAGTGTCATGGATGTCCCAAAGCTCAGGAAGTTATTATTACTGGGTTGTCGGCAGCTCTTTAGTCTAGGTTGGCGTTATAATAACCCATTTAGATTGAAAGTGGTACATGTAGACACTTGCTGGAGGAAAAGATTAGTGGTATGTTGTGCACGAGTGAGGGAGGATTTCTTTCATTTTGAGGCATGCATTACCCTTACAGATGCAAGGTTCCTTTGGCGGTGCATGGAGGGACTCTACTTACGTTCATGGTGGTGCATGCACAGTGGGGGCAAGTTGAAGTTGCACCTCCATATCTCTTCTACCATTCATAGCCAAATCAACATGACCAAAAGTATCAAGGAGATTGGTCCTAGCCAAGAGGGTTTTGCTCCCACAGGGCGATCATTACCTTATGATGATATTATTATCCTTTTGAAGGATGTAGCAAATTCATCCCTTGTGTGCGACCAGAGGCAGCTTCAACCTCTCGATGTGCATATAGAGATTGGTGATGAAGGCCACAATTTGGAGACTATGGACAAGAACCAGCATTTCAGATGGTTCGTTAGGGATCATGTTCAATCATTGCACGTGCATGACAATTCCTCAATCGCGGCTATCCCTCCAAGGGGTCCACAAACTTGGCTTGGCCTAACATGGTGTCATGTTGAGAGATGTCCCAAGCTACGTTCACTCTTCTCTTGTAAGGCTAGAGAAGACAACTTCACTTCTTTAAGGACATTTTCCGCGTCTGATCTCCCGACGGCCTGCTGCATCTGGGATAAAACCAACCCCAAAGACCCTGAAGATTGCATATACCTACGAAGTGCCTTCACATCCCTACATTCCATATACCTACACAATTGCCCGAGGCTGGTGTTTGTCCTCCCGATTTCCTTCACCTTGCCAAGCCTGGAGACCCTTCACATGGCATACTGCAGGAACCTGCAATATGTTTTCCCACTGGACAACAAGTACCCTCCAGAAATAGCTTCTGGTGCCACATTCCAGAACCTGAAGCACATCAAGCTATACCATCTCCATCGGCTGGAGCAGATATGCGAAGCCAGACTGACCGCACCGGCGCTGGAGACGATCAGTCTCAGGGACTGCTGGGGCCTGAGACGGATACCGGCCGTCGCTGCGCGTCAAGGTCCTAAGCCAGTTGTGGACTGTGAGAAGGATTGTTGGGGCAGGCTCGAGTGGGACGGCCTGGAGGCCGGGCACCACCCGTCGCTCTTCGAAACGCTTCACTCAGCTTACTACAAGGAGGCGCTCCCAAGGGTCTCCGTTCTAAGGTTCGTCCCCCATGGGCTACTATTCCTTATATGCGTACACATATCTAGACTGAGCATGCATCAGTCACAGAATTTGCCATCTATTAAGGTATCCAATTGACTTTTGTTGTTCGATTCGTAGGTGATGTGTTCCACCCCTCTGCCATGTCTAGCTTGGTCAATAAGATGCAACCAAGGGAGGTCAGGCCACATGTTTCTGTGTTGCAAGTGTGGTGTGTTCGTGTGCAGGATACGTACGCTGCTATGCACAAGGAAGAATAAATGGTGTGTTTTCACTTTTCAGCCCCAGGCTACCTGATTTTGAGTATGCTTGGATTGGATTGGATTGTCGTGCGATGCACTTTGGGTGCAGGGCTTTCTCCAGCTTGGTGTGGTGGTCACACCCAGCTGGTTTATTTGTGATGATTGGCCATTTGCTTGTAATAATAAGATTGAGGTTGTGTGCATGTGTGCGCGCGCACCAACCTAGCTAGTCTTCCGTGTGACTTTATTGATGAACCGTAAATCCAGCTTGCATTTGATCATATGTATAACAATATTGTGTGATGAGTTGTTACATGGTTTGCAATTGTGTGGGTTTTGCGTGGCAGCGATGTGGTGTTGCTGTTATCAACCAAATGGTGGTGCTGTATATATGAAGCTACTCTATGATGAAGCTTTTCCTTTGACCAAATGCTTCACAAGTGGCCATAAACCTCTGTTTTGTTCTCCGGGAACCAAATGCTCCAGGGACGAGAGCCATCTGAGGGACGAGTACCGGCTGGGCGCCGCCACCTTCTCCTTTAGCACGGCCAGCCGAGAGTGGACACGGCGCGGGGACTGGCAGCTGCCGGCCCACGGCCACGCCCACTACGACGGCGAGCTGGGCGCGTGGCTCGGGCTCCACGCCGTCAGCGACGAAGGCGACATGTATCGTCACCGCGTGACGGACGGGCGCCTCTGCATCGGAGACGTCACTTCCGAACCGGCCGAGTGAAAGGTCGGCAGAGAGCAGCTGTTCCGCCTGGATGACGACGCCGCGGCAGGCTGGAGGCACGTCGATGCCAAGCTCGTGCCCATGGCGGCGAGCAATGGTGACAGCGAGTACTGCATCATGGAGCGCCTACGACCCCAAGAAGGAGAAGGAGAAGGAGAAGAAGGTGGTATTCATCAACGGGGTCAACCATTGGTACGAGAAGGAAGAGGAGGAGGAGTGTCTCCTCCGGCTCACCAGTTTCCGTGTCGACCGTGGCCAGGACGGCCAGCCGGTGGCCACGGCTCGCCGGACACCTCGCTATTACAAGGTGTTGAGTCACAATAAGAATTTTGAGGCTCAAGCGTTCTGGATGTAATTAGCACAGCCGCATGCATGCTTGGTTGAATTTTCTTCCGAATTTAACAAACTATATATTGGAGTAGTTAAAAGGAATTTCACCGAATTTTATTATGCTTTTTCATGTGGTGATTATCATGCCAGGATCAGTGGCTTACTGCTATAATACCAGAGCAAGTTGAATAAATTGTGGAGCCGGGATATCACCGATGTAACATCACAAACTAGAAGATACCCCGTGCATTGCGGCGGAATTCCGAGGAATAAATTTTCACAGAAACTAAAGTACCAACTCTATTAGATACATGTAATAGCAAATAATGTAGTAAAGCGGAAGCTCCATGTATGTATTGTCAGATGGGCCTGTTTAGGACACATCTAAATGTGACATAGTTATGTCACATCTAAGCTGATGTCCACTTTGTTTGAGGTCTATTTTTGTTGTCCTAATTTCTTTTGTTTTTTGTTACTACATTATATATTTATGAGAGTTTAGATGTGACATCATTAAAAAACATATAGATGTGAATTAGCCAAACCATTGTTAGATTAGTGAAGAAAAAGCGTCACCTATTTTTTCACTGATAACAATTAACATTTCCTATCCATACTTGATGTAAGGCTGAAATGGTTCAATTTCGTATCATCATCTCCACCATTTACATGTTTCCATAAATTGTCAGAATTTACAGATTTGTTGCATTACATAGCAATAAATTGAGTATTGTTACATTTGTTGATTTTCTGTACACGCAAGAGTGAAATTTAGTAGTCACTAAATGCTCTTCGTGAAGTCAATCGGAAACCTCCAAATTGGCGAAATCACTAGTTAAGGAGTACTCGTTGCGAAGATCATTTCAACTCCCCCAGGTCATGACAAGTGGTGCGCGGCATGTGCGCCACTTGTCGTAACACGGGAGTTTTCCCTTTTTTCGTAGATTCGTTTATTCAAAATGTTTTATCTCTTAAACCGTGCGTTCAAATCTCCAACCGCTTTTGCCATTGGATTTCTCGCGTCGAGATCTTTAAAAGTAGATCCCATGTTGATAGATTTTGACGAACTTTTTTTCACAAAAAAACCGGACGAAAAAACCGTACCGAGAGCACGGTTTCTTTTTTCCTTTCCGAAAAAGGCACCGTGCCTCTGACGAAATCACAACCGTGTCTCTCGCGAAAGCAAAACCGTGACTCTCACAAAAGGAAAAAAAGAAAACATATTTTTTTTCCATTTCCGAGGAGGCACGGCCGTGACTCTCGCGAAAGCACAACCGTGCCTCTCGCGGAAGCAAAACCGTAACTCTCGCGAAGAAAAAAAAACAAAAAACATGTTTTTTTTTCTGAGGAGGCCCGGCCGTGACTCTGGCGAAAGCACAACCGTGCCTCTCGCGGAAGTAAAACCGTGATTCTCGCGAAAGAAAAAAAACAGAAAACGCATTTTTTTCCGTTTCCGAGAGGCACGGCCGTGACTCTCACGGAAGAACAACCGTGCCTCCCGCGAAAGAAAAAAAACAGAAAACGCTTTTTTTCGTTTCCGAGAGGCACGGCCGTGACTCAAGCGAAAGCAAAACCGTGACTCCCGCGAAAGAAAAACGTGTTTTTTTGCGCAAATTTTTTTTTATTTTCGAAAAAAAATTGGTCGAAAAGCTTGGGAAGACCAGTGAAAAACCAAAACGTCGAAAACCCCTGAAAAAAACCATTTAAAAAGCCAAAAACGCGTGTAGAAAACTAAAAAAACAAAATTCGGATGGAGCGTCCAGAGCACGACGCGTGGCGAATGGCTGACAGCACACCAAGTGACGTTGATCGTTGCGAGGCTCCCGAAGGAGCGTTCGTTAATTAGTTATATGAAACGTAAAGCCCTCAAATGACGGAAAATACTTAGTGGGCGAAGTTTGTTCTCCCCTGCATTTCAGTCTGAATGCTACTGGAAATATTAGATGGATGTCATATGAAACGTTCAACAAAATGTTATTAGTAGCTATTTGGATAAAGGGGATCAGACTTAAAAGCAAAACTTGCAGAATTTGGATACGTGTGTCTTTTTACTTTTGTTTATTGTTGCTCCTTATATCTGTTATAATCTAATATATCATCAGACAATCTAGCAAGCTTGAACCAACAATTTCAAATAAGAATGTAGACCATAAAGCCACCAGTTACCAAATTCAACAGAGCATAGAAGTTGACAGCATCCATGTCATACTGATAGCCCTGTCCAAGCACCACCTGTGTGTCATGAGCAAGCTGGTCATGAGTAGGGAACAAAAATAAATTCAAAGATTAGAAACTGATTAGAGGTCAGGAACAAATAATTAGAGAAAACAAACTAAACTAAATCTGAACTCTCACCATCAAATTCTCTATTTGTAACTCACCGAAGAAAACAAACTGAACTAAATCTGAACTCTCACCATCAAGTTCTCTATTTGTAACTCACCGCCAATTTCTTCTGATTCTCCTCTCCTCTCGGGTGTTGCTCTTCCAGACATCACAGGGCAGGGACACGGGAGTCGTAGAGATGGACGAGGTTGGTGGCATCTAGGCTTTTGAGAGCAACACCCTCCCGATGTGCGCGTTGTTCATCTTATCGAGGCCCGGCCCGGCGTCGCACCCGCGAGGCTGCAAAGAAAGCCAACTTTAGAGTCCAATCTCACCATCGGCAGATCCGATTTTGGTGGAGCGCGCAGGCGGAGGGCAACCAGGGGTCCTGGCGACATTGATGCGGTGTGATGATCTGCTCCTGTGCGGGATCAAAATCGCGAGAGAACCTGTATATAGGAGAAGACCACCGCGCCTCATCTATCTGTCATCATGATCCAGGAAGATAAACAACGAGAATCCCTAGTGGCGGAGGGAGCACCTTTGGCTGGTTGAAGTATATGCGCGTGGTTAATAAGGAGTTGGGTAGCCGCCTAGCGGGGAAAGGGAACGACGGGTTCAAGATGGTCGTGCCCCCTCGTTTAGAAACTGATGCGACTCTTCACAGCTGAAACGGTGACGTGGCTTAAGGGAATCACAACAAAAATAGTTAGGCTGGTTGTAATGTGAAGTATTATATACTAGTATCATGCATATGATACTAATGTATGATACTACATCCGTAAGAGCATCTCCAACAACCGTTGAATGCGCCGCGCGCAAAAAATGGCTTTACCGCGCGCCCATCGCCTGGTTTGGCGCAGCGCCAGCTCCAGCCGCCGCGCTAAAATCCAGCGCGCGCGGGCCGCTCCAACAGGCGCGTAAAAATTACAGAGCGCGCGCTCATTCTACAAACTAGGATATAGGCATAGCATAAAAACTAGATAGATTCCATATGATTTTAAACGATACAAAGGTATTTTACATCGAAAACATAGATTGCATAATTTAAAAACGACAAACGATAAAAAACTAATAGATAGCATAAAAACTACTCTAAGTCGCTATCATCATCATCACCATTATCATCCTCGGCGGTGTCGTCTGAGGTTGATAGCCATATGTCCAACCAACGATCATCCTCGGCATTACTGATCCTCGGGGGTGAAGATCGTCCTACGACCTGCTGCAACGAGATCGGCCTGCTCGTTCGCCAACGCCTTCCGCCGACGCCTGTCCAACCGCGCCTCGCGGCGCCTTCGCGTGTCCTCCTCGCGACGCCTTGCCCAGTAGGCTTGCTCGTAGGCGACGTCCTCCGGGTGGCGCCGGCGCCACTCCACCATGACCCGCTCGTCCTCCTGGGCGACGAGGAGGCGGCGCTGCCGCTCGGCGTGCTCCGCACGGTCTTGTGCCGTGTTCAGACGAGGCGGCGGGGCGACGGCGAGCGCCTGCTGG